TAACCCCAACGGACCATATTTTTGTGAAAGATTGGTATTTTTGTTCTGATTTGTAGGAATCTGAAAAACGCGTTTCACAACTTGTCTCTTATTTAGTTTTATGCGTCATTCAAGATGGCGGCCCCCATGTAGTAAATATCGTATTTATTTTATTATCACGTGTGCGCCAGCTGACTGTGGTCTTGGCTATCGTGAACCCATCGATCAAATCAATTCGAAGTACAGAACTGTTAAACAGTAAAACACACATAGATATAAATAAAACGAACTTGGTGCCAAACGACAGGTTCTACCACCCATAATGCCGACAAATCAAAACCGATGGTAATTAATCAATGTTTCCCACACTTAGTTATGTGACCATTGTTCCTGTAAAAGCAAACGTGTATCTGTCTATGTGCAAAAGTTGCTTTGGTTGTATTCATCAGACAGAGTGTAATCAGTTCAGTTGTATTAATACGCAGGATGTAACCACTACCGTTGTATTCATATGCAGCATGTAATCACTACCATTGTATCCATACGCAGAATGTAATCACTACTGTTGTATTCATACGCAGAATGTAATCACTACCGCTGTATCCATATGCAGAATGTAATCACTGCAGTTGTATCCATACGCAGAGTGTAATAACTACTGCTGTATTCGCACGCAGAATCTAATCACTATCGTTGTATTCATTCACAGAATGTAATCACTACAGTTGTATTCATACAGAGTGTAATCACTACTGATGTATTTTTATGCAGAATGTAATCACTGCAGTTGTATTTATACGCAGAATTTAATCACTATCGTTGTATTCATTCGCAGAATGTAATCACTACAGTTGTATTCATACAAAGTGTAATCACTACCGCTGTATTCATATGCAGAATATATTCACTACAGTTGTATTCATACGCAGAATGTAATCACTGCAGTTGTATTCATGAAACAGTGTAATCACTACCACTGTATTCATACGCAGAATGTATTCACTACTGTTGTATTCATGAAACAGTGTAATCACTACAGTTGTATTCATGAAAACAGTGTAATCACTACCGCTGTATTCATACGCAGAATGTATTCACTACTGTTGTATTCATACGCAGAATTTAATCACTATTATTGTATTCGCACGCAGAATGTAATCACCACCATTGTATTCATACGTAGAGTGTAATAACTATTGTATTCGCACGCAGAATGTAATCACTGCAGTTGTATTCATACGCAGAATGTAATCACTACCGCTGTATTCATATGCAGAATGTAATCACTACCGTTGTATTCATATGCAGAATGTATTCACTACCGTTGTATTCATGAAACAGTGTAATCACTACAGTTGTACTCATACACAGAATGTAATCACTGCAGTTGTATTCATACGCAGAATTTAATCACTATCGTTGTATTTACACGCAGAATGTAATCTCTACCGTTGTATTCATACGCAGAGTGTAATAACTATCGTATTCGCACGCAGAATGTAATGACTGCAGTTGTATTCATACGCAAAATGTAATCACTACAGTAGTATCCATGAAACAGTGTAATCACTGAAGTTGTATTCATACGCAGAATGTAAACACTACAGTTGTATTCATACAGAATGTAATCACTACTGATGTATTTGTACGCAGAATATAATCACTGTAGTTGTATTCATACGCAGAATGTAATCACTACTGTTGTATTCATGAAACAGTGTAATCACTGCAGTTGTATTCATACGCAGAATGTAAACACTACAGTTGTATTCATACAGAGTGTAATCACTACTCATGTATTTGTACGCAGAATGTAATCACTGTAGCTGTATTCATTCGCAGAATGTAATCACTACCGCTGTATTCATACACAGAATGTAATCACTACCGCTGTATTCATACACAGAATGTAATCACTACCGCTGTATTCATACACAGAATGTAATCACTACCGTTGTATTCATACGCAGAATGTAATCACTACCCTTGTATTCATAAAACAGTGTAATCACTACAGTTGTATTTATACGCAGAATGTAATCACTGCAGTTGTATTCACTCGCAGAGTATAATCACTACAGTTGTATTCATACAGAGAATGTAATCACTACAGTTGAATTCATACGCAGAATGTAATCACTTCAGTTGTATTCATACGCAA